TTATTACAAAAAATATTTAATTATATTATAAATATTTTAACATCGATTAAAATAAAATTGCAATATAAATTTACAAAAAAAAGAACAAAAAAAAAAAATATAAAGTATATCGTATTTTTAAATACATAAAATTCAAATTCTTCGTGGCTTCCTACTGTTGTATATGTAACAATGTAAACCGGAATGAGTTTATTAAATGTGAAATATAAAGAATATAATTTAAACGCCTTATATTATCCAACAGAATGAAAACAAGTAGCACTTGTTGAAGTTCTTCGTTGAGAGGGTAGTTATATAAAGAGTATATACTGTCTTATTCTCTGTGCTTTAAGTGACTAAGTAAGCGTTATGGTTCTTACTGACTTTGTGTCCGCCACCAGAATTTGTACTTAACCCTGCTTTTGGCTTGTTCCTAAAATATTTGAATTAATTAAAAAGATCTTTAAAGCTACTTTTAAGATTACAATATGAAATATAATAATTAATATTAAATTTACATGCTCGTGGTATTAGTAACCGTTGGTTTTGGTGCTGTTGTAGGGACTTTTTCTTCACTATCTGATAATTCTAATTCCAAACTTGACGATTTTCCTCGTCGGCCGTAGTATCTAATATTACAATTAGAAAATAACAAATATAATAAAAGTTTCATATGAATTGAAGCATATATTGTACCTTGGCAGTGTTGATACTTTATTTTCGAGGCTCCGAGATCGTTTGCATCTGGATTGACTTCTTGATCTTGATCTAGATCTAGATTGAGATTTAGTTCTGGATCGAGATTTAGATACTGATTTCGATGGAGAGTAATGTCTCCGCCGATAACTATCTCTCGAGTGGCTCCTGTTATGCGATTTAGATCTTGATCTTGATCTTGATCTTGATCTTGATCTGGATACACTACTTGAGGATGAGCTTCTAGATCTTTTAGGACGTGAGCGGGATCTAGATCTTGTTTTTGACCTTGAAATCGTGCGCGAACGAGATCTAGTGAAACTTCTATATCGGGACCTTGATTCACTTCGGGTTCGTGATCGTCTCGAATGACTTCTCGTTCTTGACCTTGTGATTTTTCTATGTCTCGAACGTGTTCTTCTTAAAAATATTTTTAAGATTAGCATCATAAATATTCTAAGTAACTAAATAAACTACGAACTACAAAAATACTAATGAAGACAATTAATATCACAAATATAAATATATGAATAAATAAATATGTATATTTATGTAAATACTTATTTACGAGTGTTGACAAACTTACCTTGTTCTCGATGTACTACGTTTTCTATCACGATTTCTGTACGATTTAGATTTATTAACAGATCGAGAACAACTTCTAGATCTTGACTTTGAAAGCTTTCTATTAATGGTTCGTTCGTTAAGAGTTGGACTGTCTGATCTTCTACGCCTAAGATGAGAATAATTAATTTTTCTTGAATTGGAAGAAGTAACATGAGACGAACTTCCATGAGTTTCTTCTTCACCACCAAAACTTGTAATATAAGTTATTTGTCCAGTATTTACAGGCGATACAGATCTCGAACGAGATTTAGATGAAGATTTTCTATAAGGATTGTATTCAGGACTTTCTCTTGCTGCATAACTAATAAACCAGTAAAATATAAAAAGCAATAAATATGTTTGTTAAATCATTTATCTAAGTAATTAATTAATGAACTTATTAATAGTATCCAAATAAAGAAGAATAAATTTTCAAGATAATAAAAGGTACCTACCTAGGTGGACTCATAACACGACCAATCATTTTTTTCTCTCTAAATGCACGTCTTTCTCTACGTGATCTTCTGCCCTGTAATGTAAATCAATTAAATGCATTATCATAATTAATAATTTGATTGATGTAATATTATAAAAGAATATATCTAATGTTATAGGTATACATAATATATTATATAAAAAATATATATTTTTTAGAATATAATATATAATATGATATAAACATATAATATAAACATAGGAACATAAAGAAAAATGTTTTACCGAATACATGGCTTTTTCTTCTTCTTGTTTGCGTGCTTGTTTCAATGTTTCAGCTTCCTCAAAATCTTGCGTTAAAAAACTAAAATAATCAGCTCCTAAAAGCCCATATTTTTGAGCTACTAAATTCATTTCATGTGCCTGTGATGGTTCTATTTGAGATACATCTACACAAATATCTAAAGGGAAAAATTAAAGGTGTAATTTGAAATATATTTAACATACAAGACTGTAACAATTATTTATAGCATATATTATACCTAAATCAATATCACTATCTTCATCATCTGCTTTTTCATCAGATATAACAGTATCCAAAGATTTTACTGTTTCAGGTATTGGCTCTTCTGTTTCATAATTATATCCAATAGCTACATTATTACATGATTTTTTTTTATCCCTAGCAGAATCTAATTTTGTTGATGAACCAAATTGTTCTTCCAAATGTATTTGATGTAAAAATTTTTCTTCCGTTACTATATTAAAAATTATTGTTTATTAAATAGTTTGAAATAAAACTGAAATATAAATTTTAGAATAAATGTAATTTCCTACCGCCTAAAAATTCATTTTGAACAATGATACGATAACGTTCATAATTGATATGTCTGTCTTCACTAGTAAGTGCAATATCTACATCAATAGAATCTGGTGCTTCTGGTATCCAATCAAGATGGGCACGAACATCAAATCGATCAATAAGATTGTCTTCATTTCCTTGCCATGGCATCCTGGCCAATAAATATATGTTAATGTAATGTAATGTTAAATGTATATTAATATAACATATATTTCACATATAAAGTTACTTATTTATATAGTGGAGTTATATATTTATCTTTTCATATATGTATTCTTTTAAAATAATTTATTTAAATATATCCAATTAATTTTCCTATTTAATACATAAATTATTTTTACATATGACACAATTATTAAATATTTTAGTTTTTTACAGAAAATATTAAATATTAAACTTATTTTCTATTTCATTTCAAATGTTTTTGAAATTCTATATGAATGAATTATGATCATTATTGATAAAATAAATAAATATTTCATATTAATTTATGTGTTATAATATTTAATTATTACATAATACATCAAATTATAAGAGTAATAACATTAAAAATCATAATTTTTTATTTAAAGAAGTATATGAATTAAATTATATTTTGATTCATTTATTTAGTAACTCGAATAACACAGTTTACAAATTTCAACATTCTTTAACATTTTCAAAACATTTGAAATATCGTACATTAATTTTTCTTTAATTCAATTTCAATATGGTTCCAATATTCTTATATAATAATTGACTGGAAGTTAAGTAATGATTACAAATTTAATAATAGATGTTTAGAATTAGTAGGATTAAAGTACATATTAACTTACATATTTGCTGGACTATCACCAGCTGTAGCAATTGCTGGATCCAAATGTATTTTACAAGGTCTTCCATGAAGTTGTAAAAACTGTGTAGGATCTGATTTCTGAGAATTTAAATATATGCATGAAAAAATAAAATAAACTAAAAAATGAGGAGATATGTATTTTTACTATGTATTTATTTATTTCACATATAAAATGCATATTATGTATATAATTATATGATAAAAGCAAAATAAAATAAAGATAAGGATGTTATGTAATTTCTTAATTTATATCCTTGAATAACTATTAATAATTACAGAGATTGTGATAATGTTAGAAAGAAGTTTAAGGTTAACAAGTAAAAGAAAAAGAAAAATTTAGATCGCATTACAAGAAAAATAACATTAAATTATGTAACTTCAAAAAAATATATATACAAATAATTATTCAATTAGGTTCCTTACAATTTTTTCATAATAATCTCGTCGACGTTCAGCTCTACGACGATAATCTACTAACATCCCACGAATTTTCTTTTCCTGTTTTCGCGCTTCATGCCACATTCTACCACCTGTTTTTTTCACGGAAAAGCTCATTTTACATATCAAATTATTCACAAATTACTAAATTAAAAAGGAACTTTCATGTAGTTAACAATTCTATATAAGAAATTCGAAAAATTATTAATTAACAGGCTCTTCTTCTGCGAGGTAGACATATTGCATTTTACAAGCACTATTTCGTATTCAGAAAATATGATCCCATGTTACTCCATAGATAATATATATTCGAGACATGACAAAAGTTATTGACAGTATAACTATATTTTGTATTCTCTCAAAATATTTTATATCTTCATATCAAAATGTATCGAAATTTTTCATATTCTTTTTAAAATGAAATATTTAATAATTACAATATAAATTTCAGTTAACGTGTTAAAGTTAAGAAAAATTATTTGATAAAGATTTTAAAATCTTTAAAAATTTTACAAACATTAATTTAATACAACAGACTGAATTATTGGTTAACTTTTAATAGATTTTTAGTAAAATTTATAATAAACGAGTAAGAAATAATTTATAAAATGCAGATAAGTTGAATAAATCCTGTCAGCAAAATTTCTTATTAACATATTTTTTAAATGCTTGATACAAATTTTGTCACCAAAATGTTACTAAACGTAATTTTGAATCTGGTTATCAAATTATGTTTTCAAAACATATCAAATATATTTTCATCAAAAATATATCAGAAGAATATCAAACTTATATTGGTATATAATTAGAGCATATATATATATTTATAATAACAAAGGTCTAAGTGAATGTATATTTTAATAATTTATATTTTATAAAACATTGACATTTTAAACAAAAAGAAATAAAGATATGTTGTAAATATGTGTGATACTTATTGGTAATATTTCTAGGGAGTATGTTTGCCTGAGTGTGGCTATTCTGTATTTTTTTGTTCTTTCGGTTAGTTTGAAATGTATGCAGAGTGCACGTTGTAGGTTGAATGCGTGTTTGATTTGTATCAAGAAATATTAAGACAATCTGAGATTATTGTATCTTAAAAAGCTTTAAATTTATAAGATAAAATTACTATTCAGGAAATATGTTAAAAAACAAGATATAAGAAGATTATCGTCATAAAATTATTTTAGAAATAATTTTAAATCATTTCTATATACATATCTTATTACCAACTTTTAGTACAACTCACAGTCCTTCAAATAATAATATTAATTAACTATTTTGTTTAAAGAAATAATAATTGTTATGTTGTGTGACTTTCTAGGGCTAAAATCTTGTATTTTTAATTTTTTATTAAACAGTAAACATATTATAGTACATATCGTATATTTATAAGAATATAAATTGTATTTCCTAATGAAATAAGTATTAATATATGAAAAAGATTACAATAATGCAAATTTATGCGATGTTTTTACTTTTTATAAATAATCAATTAAAAAAAATGTATGAATTTTCTACATTTTTGTATTTTTTTCAAAAATTTTAATTTATAATAATATATATACATATATAATAAAATTTTATATTTTGTAACCAGTGTAAAATGTGAAATTATTAGAAAAAATTATGAACATATGATATAACAATTAAGGTACATTTAAAATTTGAATTCAAAATTACATTTTATTATCTTAATATGGACTAATATAATATTACCATGTACACATTCAGTAGCTCACTTATAATTTATAACTTATAATACATTCACAAACATTGATAAAGACAGTCACGATATTTTGTAGCATGTTTCATGACTGATGAAGCTACAGCGCAAGCTCTATTTATGTATAAGGTATATTTTATCACTTATCGACATTACAAACGGTTGTTTAGATTATCTTACCAATGATTTATTTAAGGTAATGTTGTGTCTATCGTTCGCACTGACTTTGCCCGATCAGTGATCACTATTAAATTAACGTTCTCCTTGTGGAAATTGACTTTCTTTTTTTGATACAAACCTTCATTTCAAATTAAAAGTAACTTATATGAAAAGTATATTTATATCAACTTAAATACGCTATTTATAACAACTTATATATATTTTCTGCTTCGATATTAACTATAATATAACCTTAATCAATAAATCAAACATTAATATTTAAATACATATATTAAGTTGATGTATTAAACTTATTTTTTCTTTTTCTTGATGCAACGAATGTAGTGATCTTTAATTACATTTAAATTATGCATTAGAATCAATGAATATGAATTTTAATTTCGAATATTTTAGAATTTACGCCTTCTGCGATATATTAATTATAGCTTGTTTTATATTAGCCGATAAGATCTAACTATTTTTCAGTAAATAAAAACTCGTTGTTTTCGTTTTTACTTACGAATATTTTTTCGACAAGATTTTAATCTTCAACTTTATATAAAAGCTATAAATTATGTTTTTGTTATCTATTTCAGTTTTCTAACGCGTTCGTCATATTCTTTTCCCATTTTTTTCATAATTCTGGGCATCACCATAATTTTTTATTGCGAATTGTTCATTAGTTTAATTTCCTCGAGTACAAACCCATTTGTTTTTCGAACACATCATCATTTAGTATGTAATATATCATGAGCATCTTTATTCGAATAATTTGTATCTGAGTTTATCCGTACAACAATAATTTTAAATCGACAAAATTCTTCATTCGTGATAAACGAAGAATGTGAAAAGCACAATCAAAAGACAAGCTTTTGTCCGTTTTTCCATACAGACTGCTCGATTCAGTATATCGAAGCCACTTATACAATTTGTCGAGAAGCGATTACCTTTCATTACCGACATCTTTGCATGCGCATGCGCAAGGTAATAATTCGTGGCGCGAATTTTTGCAGTTTCGTATATAAATATATACTTATATACTATATATACACATACATGATATATGTACTATATATATATACATATATATATAGTGTATATACTATATAATTTGTATTGTACAAGCAGTCATAAGAAATTCCGTATATTTTAATTTTCTATTTTGTGATAGTTCTTTGCGTTGATAGTTTTTTTTCACGTTTTATTTTTTTCATTAATAATATCAAATACACTCTACGGTTAACAGTACGGTATAACATTTTTTGATACCACATACGCTTATACGTTTTACACGCGTTATGCAATAAAACGTGATGCTTTTCGCATCGAAGTTATACTTTTAGAATTTTTCTTATGCGTGTTCTTTGCAATTTTCAAACGTAAAGATAAATGCGGTATCTGGCGGGGGAAGGAGGGCACAACGGCGGCAGATTTGAACCGACAAAAACTCGGATTGATTTTACCGCGTAAGAAAAAGAAATTTTTATCAACAATCACGCAAGGTCAGATGGACAATAACGTTACTTTGCAAATGTTATTATTAAAATGGCTAGACACGTTCAGTCAAGGTGATTCGCTGTGGCTGCATTTTTTATTTTATTTTTATCTTCATATTTATTTGTATATATATGTATTTATATTTATATTTGCATTTATCTTTATATTTATATTTATATTTATTTATATTTGTATCCGTATCTATATTTCCATATATACGTATTTACATGCGTACATGTATACACGTAAATATGTTGCGTTTATCTTACTCTTAGCGTAATGACTAGATAAGTTTCGGCCACCCAATATAAACATGTTTGATCCCATATATTTTATTCGTATCATTCCTTTGTTCACCAAATATATGGATAAAAATTTCCATGCCAAAATTCATTTTTTCGCTATGCATATGATATACCTATCCTAAACGCTGCAATTGCCTCTTTCAACGTTTTCGGACGCGATCTACTTGAGAATCCTATTTATCATATATATTTCTCCTCTGAATACTTCCATATACATATAATACTTACAAGACGCTGTTTTCTTAATATGACACATCTTAAAAATATGTTCATACAATGACTCTGTTCATAATATATATTATAAGTAACGTCGGAAGAAAGAAGTTCCATATTTCCGTGATAATTAAAATTCGTAAATGAAACCATCACGATTCTGATATTATTCTGATATTTTCAGAAAACCTAATACGAATCGCACAAAGACGATAAAGTAATAAATACCGAAATTTTGGAAAACTTGTTTAGAATTTACGAAACAAATTTATTATTTATTACTGCATAGACATTATGATACATAATATATTATATTATATACATAATATAATAATATAATTATGTATATAATTATGTAGACAACAATATATCTATAATATATATTATAACAATGTATATAATATAATACATATAATATATTATGTATTATATATGATACATTATACGTTATGCATATGTAAATACTTTACGATAAGTGTGAATGAATAAGAAAACGTGGTGTTGCATGTGTAAATAAATTCATTCTATGAACGTAAGCGCCCGAAAAAGTTCATTACGATTTTTCCATAAGAGGGAACACGTGTCATTCGACATTGTGGATCTATACATTTAATGTGATATGCGATGTGCAACACGCTGCTTACGCTTTTTACAATGGAATATGAGCTTTCTGGATTTGTTTAAGGCTTTCCCTTCTTATTTCCTCTTTTCCTTTTTTTAATCTAAGAAAGCATCCATAAAGGTTAATCGTAGATCGATCCTTTATGTTATAAAATTTATATCGTTTATCCTATCTAGTCGAGTATAATTTTATACTGTCGCGATAATTGCGAACATAAAAGTAGGGTATGCGAGAAATAGTACGAAATCGTACGAAATGACGAAATATTTCGATTTAAAGTAAATATGGTATCGATTATAAAAACCGTGATTGTTGACACGTTGATTACCTCTTCATATTCTACTATATATAAATTAAACTATTTAAATATATTCGATATTTACGGAAGTAATACCTTCTATTGCCATATATCAATCTTCTATGTATATTACACATAAAAATATGTCATATATATATGTGTGTGTGTATCTTGTACATTGTTCTAAAATAATGAAATCATCGATGACGAGATAATAATTGAAAATTATTTAATATGCGTTGCAGAAGGTGCAAATTTTTGGTTGCAAATAGAGTATACAGGATGTCCCAGTAACGGTAGTACAACATGGAAAGGGGTGATTCTACGTGAAAAAACAAATCGAAAATAAAGAATAAAATTTTTTCCTTCGAAGCTTCGTTGTTGAGAAAATCGACTTTGAATGTTCACCGAGTACGCGT